GTTAAAACCCTTTTTAGCAACAAGAAAAAGATTAAGTAATTATAAATTTATTTAATTTATTATATTATTGTTTAAAATACGAAATTAAGTAATTTTTTGTTCGTCAAATTATTCCCACAAAAAAAAATTACTCTTTACTTGTTCATTTGTTTTAATTTGTCTTTGGATATTAAGCCCAATCATCAGGAGTCATGAGCAAAGTCTTTGTTAGGGTTGGCAGAAAGGTATTTACTTCTGCTTTTAAGATGAAAGCATTACTTAACACCGGTTACCTATGAGGCCGTGGTAACTCCAGTTAAGCCTCACGTATTTACGGAAACATAACCTTCTCGCGATGCGTAGGAAAATAGAAATATCTACCGTAGGGTGGGCAAGGAGGTGCTTCTAAGACAATCATCATCATCATCATCATCATCAACAGCCTTTAATAGTCCACTGCTGGACATAGGCCTCCCCTTAGAAAGGAGGTTTTGGCCTACTATACCACGCTGGCCAGACGGGTTGGTAGAGGGTTTGTTTCAAGTTTTCCTTCTCTCTGCAGTGTTGTTGTCCTGCGTAGTTTTCTCCCTTAGTCGCCTCTTACGACACCCACGGGATGAATAGGGGTGGTGACTCTCTGTATTCTTAATCCGTCACCACACGGACACTAATACAATCAAATTGATATTATCGATTGTGATGTCACACATCCCGCCTACACACTAGTACAGCGCCATGTTGTTGTACAATTCGTACATTCTAGTAGCATAATAAGATTAGCCTGTGGGCTGGTCACACCATATTGTATAGCTAATTAGATTTGTTACAGGATTATTATCGAAGCTGTTTTCGTCATGCAGGCGATTATACAATTGTTTATACTGGTTCACGAGGAATTTGAGTTATGTGGATTCGGTACACGTAATGTTTATCATCGATCTGTTCTACTGATAAAACATAATAGAAAAACGTTTGGGAAACGGAAAAACAAAGTTTAACTAGCTTTAATGCGTTCTAATCTAGGCTGTATTCTTCATCATTTGACGTACAACCAATTTAATGAAAAAATATTGATAGCAGATATGGGCCGGTGATCGATGAACGAGTTGATACACAAATAATGTTAAGTGCTTAAGAAAACGCATGGTAAGTTGGTTAAAATTGTGATATCTCTCACATATCTGGGTGTACTTTGTGTCCGTTTCATGTATGTTTGTAAAGTCCCCCGCGACACAGGATTTATTCCTAGTGCGGGAGTTGTCTTTTAAAAAAGAATAAAAAAAAAAAGAATATTAAAACCCACTCAACTGCTTAACCATATAGTCCTCTCCAACAGAAACAAAACAGCTTGATAATCTTCCTTTAAACTCAAGCGATCAGTACGCCGTATTACATTAATATACTACCAGATTTGGCCGAGGGGCCGCCTACGTGTGTGACGGTTATTGTGGTGAAATGCAGCCTATGTCCTTGCTTAAGAATCAAAATATCTCCATACCAAATTTGATCTAAATCGGTTTAGTGTTACTGATTCCCCATACAAACTTCCAACCCCTTTTCACTCCCTTATAGGACGATTTCTGGAATAAGAACTGTCCTATGTCCTTTCTAGGAGCTCAAACTATTTGAATATTGACTATTGACTATTTGAATCGGTTTATCGGTTTAAGCGTGAAGAGACAATAGACAGACAGACAGAAAGATAGACACGCTTTCGCATTTATAATATTGGTAGGGAAAACATAGCGCACATCCCGTGGCGATGCTGGTCTGACCCTCCGCATTATTTGTTTCATATGAATAACTTTACATTTCCCAAGAAGGTTTGGCATCACACAAACGCCGACCATAAAAGAAACCACCCAAAACATTTTACAGAACTGCACATTGTAACTTCCAAATTAAATAGAAAAGATTCCAAATTAAACAAAAACATGATGATGAAAAATCCAGGGGTCTGTTGGTCTTCTCGCTCGATAGCCTGATTGCGGCTATCGTGCGGAGCGAGAGTGCGTGGAACTCTGCCGTCTCCTTCTGCGAGCAAGTTATGCTCTCGAAGGAGACGGCGGAGCGGGACCGGGAGAGGTTTAGGACTCTCCCGGCCCGCCAGGCCCGGGAACGGGCCAGGTACCGCAGGCGACTCAGGCGCCGGAGGTCGCAGAACGACCTCCGTCCTCCATAAGCGCAGGCCTGGGGGTGACAGGTGAGGACATCTGTCACCCTAGCAGGAGCAGGCCGGGGTGGCGGCGAGCGCGTTGCGAAGCGCGCTCGCTTCCATGGAGCACAGGGAACATGGGGTTCCCACACGGGGGGGGGGGTCGTCTACTCGTCTGTAGATGACCCGAGGGGCACCAGGGACTTCCTTTCTAGGGTATACCTGGTTCCCCGGCTATTAGTACCCGAGACGGCGTGCGGTTTTAGTCGGTTCGAGTCCGACATGCCACCGACAGGTGGTATCCGAGGGGATTTCCGCACGGAAAAAAAAAAAAAAAAAAAGGGGTCTGTTGGTCTAGTGTTTAGTGACCCTGACTATTAAGCCGGAGGTTGTGGGTTCGATTCCCACCCAGGACTAATAATATTAATTGTGTGATGAGCACGATCATTTGTTCTGTGTCTGGGTGTAATTTCTTTGAATTATATTACATTACATTATCAACAGCCTTTAATAGTCCACTGCTGGACATAGGCCTCTCTTTAGAAAAGAGGTTTTACTAAATATATATATATATATATTTTCTTTATTTATTTTTTAAAGACAACTCTCGCACTAGGAATATATCCTATATCGCAGGGGACTTTACAAACATACATGAAACGGACACAAAGAACACCCAGACCCAAAAGGACAATTTGAGGATCACACAAAGTGTCGTCCCATGTGAGGATCGAACCCACAACACTCAGCGTAGTAGGAAGCGGCGTGGCGACCGCTTATGCCACTACGCGTATATTTATCATCATATTGGTTACTATAGTGCAGGCTCTGCCTAGTTTGGGATTAGACTGTCGTGTGTGAGATGTTTAGAGTTATTATTATGATGTATAATTGATGGAATAGATGACGCCTTAACTACCTTGCCATTACAGTTTCATTAGTCAGTTAGTAGTGATCTCAAAAACTACTGGACCGTTAGTGATAATCTTTCACAGTAGTGTTATGAAGTGCTGCGTTGACTGCGCAATTTTATTGTTTTATTGAAGGTATTACGAGATTAATTTCCTTGTTGCACAGTTCACTTTTGCGTAAAATAGTATTTGTAATAACAAGGAATCTTGACCGAGTATCGATAGTACACCACTGTAGTGATTAGGTTAGTGACCCTGACTGCTTAGCCGTAGGTCGTGGGTTCGATTCCCCACCCAAAGCAAATGATTGTGTGACGAGCACCCTCATTTGTTCTGTGTCTGGGTGTAATTTATCAGTAAAACTGCACGGATGACGAAGTGGTTTAAGTGGTCGCCACGCCGCTACCTACTACGCCAAGTATTGTGGGTTCAAACCCCACGTGAGACACCACTTTGTGTGATCCACAAATTGTTGTTCTGAGTCTGAGTGTTCTTTGTGTCAGTTTCATGTATGTTTGTAAAGCCCCCCGCGACACAGGAATATATATTCATAATGCGGGCGTTGTCTTTAAAAAAGAAAAAACATATGTATTAGTATTCATTTTTAAATCATGGCAGTGGCAAATAAGCATACCCGCCTGCTACTGTGGTTACCATAGCTGATAGCAACTTGCACCTTCTGGGGATTCGTCGATCCTTTTAAAAAATATAAAATCGTACTAAGGCGTGTGCTTAAGCATAATCTTGGACTTACCTACTTGTTACATTTTAGTCTTAATGAGAAAAGAATCATCATTAATGATTAAAAAAGCAAAAAAAAATAATTTTATTCGAATAACTAACAATTTCAAAGTAAGGTTTATACTTTCAGACAATTTTAATTATTGTTTTTGACATACATAACACACGGCCGTCTGATCCCAAATTAGGCGGAGCCGGCAAAATGGTAACAAGACTGCTGACAAACAAATGTTTCTAAATGCACACATATTTTAGATAAATTCCGTCCAGACACAGAACAATTTATCGTGCTCATCACACAATTATTTGTCCTGGATGGGAATCGAACCCACGGCCTCTGGCCCGAATCACGGACCACTAGACCAACAGGCCGGTCATAAATTAAGATGGTTTATTTGTTCAATGAACCAGGACGAGTCAATATTCAATTTCGTGTGCAAATCGATACTTGCGTGCCAATAATTGGACGAGAAGATGCCAATACTGTTAACTTCCATACCAATAGTAGATCTATTAATGTATGATCATGGATATATGATACATTTATTTACAGTTGAAGTGGCAAACACTTCAACTTAAACGAAACTCAAACCAATCAGAACTAGACGCTATCGATAAAAGTTGTCCTTTAGATTTCAGAGTTAGTTGCCAGCGTAAAACACTAACAAATACATGTATATAAAATCAACTAGATCCTATAAATATATATTCCATTTTTGTATCATGTTAATGAACAAAACATTTTATAAAAGGTTTAATAACTGGTGTGATAAACTGGAATCACAATCGAACAGGAATATCAAATAAATCGAACAACAATTATGTTTCATTATGCTACAATTACCTAATTTAAATGCACACCTACAATGTGTATAATCTTGGATATAAACATGCGTGTTAGGTTTGCGTGTTCCACGACTATATTCCATATTAACTAGCGTGTTTTTCTACCTAATTTTCATAGACAAGTGTAACCTCTTTCCATGTTTTTGGAGCTCATTATCAGTACGCACGTTTATTGTATCGCAGCGACGCAGAGTCTGCACCATACTGCAATGTCATCTCGTATCATTTCCGAATGCCTTCGCCTTTTACTCGCACATCCACCCGATATTATAAAAGAGGTGTCTGCGCGCCGCGCGCCCGCAGTCAGTCCCGCGCTACCGAGCGAGTCGCACGCGTGTTATGCAATAGTGTAGTGTTAATATCGCAACATGGAGGGCACTCCTCCCAGCCAGGCCTTGCCGGACCCCGACGAGGGTATCACCTGTGACCGTCGCCCGTCCACCGATGACCACGCCGACTTGTCCGACACGGGTTCTGAAGCCGGATCAGGCGGAGGCAAAGACTCTGGATGCGAAGTCGCCGCTGAAACACAGGAGCCGCCTTACACACCCCCGGATGATGAGTTAGCCAATCGGATTGTAGCACAAGTTGAATTCTATTTTTCTGACGCTAATATCACAAAGGATGCTTTTCTTTTGAAACATGTAAGAAGAAACAAGGAAGGGTATGTTTCTTTGAAGCTCATATCCAGCTTTAAGCGCGTTAAGCACTTGACAAAAGACTGGAGAGTCGTGGCTGAAGCGTTAAAGCGATCAACAAAGTTGGAAATCAATGACTTAGGAACTAAACTTCGTAGGATAGATCCGCTGCCAGCATACGATGAGACAACCCCCTCAAGGACTGTGGTGGCAGTGAAGATGCCTATTGACAAACCTTCAGTTGAAAATGTGTCAAGATTGTTCGCAAGCTGCGGGGAGATTGCTTTGGTGAGAGTGTTGCGTCCGGGCAATCCTGTTCCAGCTGACGTGCGCCAGTTCCTCAACAAGAATCCTAGTTTGGTTAATTGTGTGTGTGCGTTGGTTGAGTTTACTGAATCTGAATCGGCTAGGGAGGCGCTCCGTCTTCAGAGCTCTGAGGAAGAAGGGATGCGTGTATATGAATTGAACGGAGTTCCTAGGGAACCGAAAAGGAAGACACCCATTCGACGGGCGCCGCCAAGGCGTCATGAATGCGAATATTCATCGTGCTGTAGTGGCTCTGAGCCGGAGTACGAGTACCGGTATGGAGCTCCCTTTTACAGACGTAGCTCGAGCGGTGTCTTCGCGCCGAGACCGCAGGACATCCAGACCTGGCTGCCTCGACGTGTATCGACATGCAGTCACAGCTCAGATTCAGGAGTTTCTTGGTACTGTGGCTCCCGGCGAACATCAGCTGCGAGTACTGGCAGTGCTGGAAGTGGCGGCAGTTCGGACAGCTGGCTGGCGCGGCGTCTGTCTGGTTGTTCAGTGACCGGTACTGAGTGCGGCGGTCGACGGGTGTCCTGTGCCGCCCCTCGCTGGGAGCCCCGCGCGCCTCTGGTGCCGGACGGCACGCGCGGCTTCCATGCCGCTGCTCGCCAGCGCCGTATCTCCGACCTCGCGCTGTACTCGCGCTAGAAAGCGGCCACCAACCGTGACACCTTTCTAATCACGTTGGATAACCGCCTTTCACGTTCTGCCCGCTGATTTTTTAATGTCTTTTGCACGAGGAAACAGCTCGCCTCGCGTGTGTTCCGCTCGGCGCGCAGAGCTTTCCTCGCCACGGAGTTACCTTCTGTTGTAAATGTGATCATAGGTTCATCTGGTGTGTAAGTCGCGGAACGCTGTGTTTAGTTTCGTAATCACAATTAAATATGTAATTTATTAGTACATTTATATTTATTATCGCGTATTTATTGCGGTGAGCGCGCGCGTCGCGGTCGAGTTTTCATTTCGAGTTATGTCATGTCAGAGTTGTGAGCACAAAACTATCACGCAAAATCGACATTTAATGCGATTGTAGACTCTGTAGGCATGTAAAATGTTTAAACACAGATACATGTGAGGCTGGTGCTACACTGCTAAGCGGAGCGATAGCTCGTCCACAGACCTCGCACATGACCGATACTGGTTTCAAAGGTGAATGTAAATTTAGTCAGATTGTGGTGGCCGAGTTTGTGATGATAATCGCTTCGCTTGCAGTGTGTCGCCGGCTCTTGGCGGAGTAACAGAGCGCGAACACAGACAGTTGTAGAATGTATTGCGTAAGTAATTGCACACATTCTACATGTGCGCAAGCGCCGATTTCCTGTAAAAGTAACCGATTACTCTCCGCTCACGCCGCGACGCGTTATGGCTAACTTTTCACGTACTTTTTTTTTAAATATTAAGTCATTTTTAACGTAAGTCAGTCGCGCCATTCATGTTAACTCTCTGTAAGTTCTATTTTAAGGTCCATGTGATGATAATGTAGATAGAGTAAGGGTTGCAACCCAAGATCTTTTCTTTTATTTAATTTATTTTTTACGGAGCAGATGAACGTTACATCATACGCTTGTAACGGCACAATTATTTCGCTTTTATATTGTTAGTAGTGTTGCCACGTTACAGGAGAAATTTCATTCCAAATTCATGTACAGCGTTTTTTATAGCTTCGTAATATTATAGTATTTGATATGTTATTTCTTCTGTCTCGTTGACTGACCTCTGTATATTGTAATTAAGTTGAGATGATTATATTTATAAGTTAATTATAAGATTTTTTGAGAAACTGTTGTTTGATTGACCTTCGGTGTGGAAAGTTGGTGCTGTCACCTTGACAGATTTGACAGATTACACAAAAGGCGGGTTTCGAGAATATCGGCATATCGAATAAATCAATTTACTTTTTAATTTAATGCTATCCGGTATTATAAATAAAAACGTACATGTTCGTTAAGTAATATTGTGTCGAAACTGTTGAATCGTAACGATTTTAAGTTACTTTAGTTACATTTGAGTATGTATTGTCTTACAAATTATAAAAACATGATTATATCTAGCAGTGGACCATTAATAAAAAACCGGTCAGGTACGAGTCAAACTCGTGCGCCGAGGGTTCCGTACCTTACCAGATTTTACGTAGATTTTCGCGAAAATTTCTAAGTAGGTACCAAAATTTATTTTAATTTTGAACTTTTTATTATTTTATGGAATTATTCCTTTATATGTGCTGTAAGACGTTTCTTGTCAAATTTCGTGATTCTAGGTCAACGGGAACTACCATATAGGTTTTCAACCCAAAACCTATAGGGTTGACCGGTACTTCCGGTTGACCTAGAATTGTCAATATTGGTTAAAAGCAAGTAAAGAGAAAATTCTGAAAAATAAAAAAAAGTTGAAAATTAAGGTAAATTTTGGTACTTATAAGTTTTCGCGAAAATCGAAATTTGCCCATATCTTAGTATCGTGTTGACTCAGGACCTTGATTTTTATACACCTAATAGGGACCATAGACCTCAGTATCTGGTATAAATTTCAACTTGCTAGGTCTACCCGTTCCTGAGAAAATCGGTGGTGTCACACGGACAGACAGACAGACGGACAAGAAAGTGATCTTATAAGAGTTCCTTTTTTACATTTTCAGGTACGGAACCCTAAAAATATTTTTATTTTGGAACTGATAACAAACGAATTTACTAAAATAAATTCGATAGTGACTGCAGTAGTTCAAAACAGTGGTACAGTCACTAACGCCCACATCCGGGAGACATCGATATTAGTTCCAGCAATAGCTAAATGATCTAGCTGAGATTTAAACAATATTCATGCAAAATATCAGCCTCGGATCTACGATTTTTTCGAACCAGGGCAGAAACATGATAGTGGCCCCTCTTTCTTACTTAAAAAAACTTACAAATATATAAGTTCACTTGTAGTGTGGGACAGGCCCACACGTGGGACAGGCCCACACGTGGGACAGGCCCACACGTGGGACATTTTTCTTACAAGTCGACGGTGAGCCAACCAGGCTTCCGTATGCTAGGCGCTTTCATCATCATCATCATCAACAGCCTTAAACAGTCCACTGCTGGACATAGGCCTCTCCTTAGAAAGGAGGTTTTGGCCTACTATGACACGCTGGCCAGACGGGTTGGTATAGGGTTTGTGTCAAGTTTTCCTTCTCTTTGCAGTGATGTTGTTTTGCGTAGTTTGCTCAATTAGTCGTCTCTAACGTCCCCCACGGGATGATTGGGGGTGGTGACAATGCGTATTCTTAATCCGTCGCCACACGGACAAGCTAGGCGCTTAGTGGAGCAAGTTTTTTTACTTTTAATTATTCTACATTATGATTTTTGCGCCCCCTGAAACTGCCGCCCGGGGCGGGTGCCCCAGTTTGCCAATTCTAGATCTGGGGCTGCAAAATATACTGCTTCCTCGTGCAGAGAAGCAGTTGCATGTAAGCTGTAATAGATAAGTACAAGTACAAGAGTTCTTGTTCTTGTTTGTAAGTGTGTGTGCGTACAGGCTTTTGATGGCATACTATGGTAACCAGACTACTGATAAACGTATTAAATATCTCTAAATAAGTACATAATTATAGATAATTGACATTCTGTCATAGAACAAATGATAGTAGTCATTGCACAATTATGTGTTCTGGTTAGGAATCGAACTAATGACCTCTGGCAGCGTTCAGCATAGTTAGCCACTGGACATACAATAAAACATAAAAAAATAGAAATTCTAATTACGTTAATATATGTATATTACTCGTAAATATACAATATATATACAATAATACAAACTAGCTAATTTAGCCAGTAATTAATTTCACTTTTACACATTTTAATTCTACAAAAATTAATACAAAATTCTTATTCATTTATACTGCTACGATTTTTTTACTACATATATATACGTCCATTATGATCATCATTAACAGCCTTTAATAGGCCACTGTTGGACATAGACTTCTCTTTAGAAAAGAGGTTATAGGGTTTGCTTCAAGTTTTCAGTTGTCGTTGTTGTCTTAGTCGGCTCTTACGACACCCATAAGATGAATAGGGGTGGTGACACTCCGTATTCTAAATCCGTCAAAACATGTACATACACTTACGCCTCAATTCCCAAATGGGTAAGCTGTGGCGTACTAAAGGTCGTTAATCCTTCTAACGTAATTTTGATCAAGGTTATTGCTATCAATCCGGCACTTTAGGAAGTGTTTAGGAAAATTAGAATATTAATGGGAAAGGAAAAATTGGTAAATATGAAGGTAAAGTTAGGAGAGGGATATTGTTTATAGGGATGAAGTGGAGAGTGCAGCAATAGCCCAAGTAGTTTAGAATCGCATACCTTTATTAAAGTCTGAGCCCTCTAAGCGGAGTTTTGGCACTGCTTTTAATAACAGATTCTTATAACATGTGAAAAAATAAAGGTTCCAAGTAATAACATAAAAAGTGCACGTTTAAAGTCGCTATTACGATCGAATGGTAGCCGGTTCTTTCAAATCAAATTAAGCAGACACCTGCAATTAAAGAGACAAATGCCTTGACGTTAGTAAAAATCATTTCCTGAACAATTCTTAGCTTCAAAAGTTTGTGCATAATTTCTTACTTCTGTTAGAAATACGAAAATTTGGAGGAATGCTTGTTACTCCTCACAGAAACCCGCTGTTTAGCAATTCTTTCGAAGCGGTTCAACAGCTGATGATCTGAATGAGATTAACGGAGGCTCAAGTCAAGAATTAAGGGTACCCTAAGGCAGTCAACGCCCTTTTCACTCTTGAGGTACAGGTGTACATGATCGGCATTAGTTGATTACCATTATGTCCAGTAGTGGACTATTAAAAACTGTTGATGTGATGATAATAGGAAACGAACGAGTGGGCGGGTCACCTTACCTTTAATAGTCCACTACTGGACATAGGCCTCGCCTTAGAAAGGAAGTTTTGGCATACTATACTCCGTCATCACACGGATCGTCCCCTATACCATACCAAAAAGTCTAAATTTCCCGCCACAAATGAACACCATCTGTTCTCTACGATAGTGTCATTCTATTTGCAGCAATGAGATTGCCTTGACAAATAATTCCGTGCAAAATCGTTTTAAGAACTATTTAATTATTACTAAACTGTTTTGTAGATTCAATCAACACCATTATAGTTCGAATAGTCGATAAATATACTTATTTATTAATAGTTATGAGGCGACTTGCACATACATATATTATGACGAAACAAAAACATACTACAGTACCATCTAACGACAGACGCGCCGAACTAAGGACTAGTACTAATCCTTTATCGCGCAATGAAAGTTCTCACGTCGATTAGTACCATTATATGCGTCACCGGAAAATTGTAAACACGGTTAGATTATCGACTCTCTCGCGAGGTTGTCGAAAGATTGAAAACCGAAAGTGATACGGATACATTGAGTTCGTGCGTTCGTCGTCACTATGTGCCGATCTTTCGACAGTTTATAATCTCGCGAGACAGATTATAAACTAACAATATTTTCAATTTTACAACAGGATAAATACAACCTCTTTCATTTTGGAACAATTTTGAATTGACGGCTAATTACAAAATAAAACTCATTGGTGAAACCCATTGACGTCAAATGTGTAAATATTTTTTTAAGAAGTAAATGTGT